GATGAATGAAAATGATTGTGCCAACAGATTGGTTAATTAAAATACTGATCGGCTGTTAAGTGAGAGATTAGATATATGCAGAATCAGGATTACCCAGTGGTTTAGATAGAACAAACTGTACAGAAATGAAAGGATGTAATATGTACTCTATAACATAAGATGTCAAATTTCTAATTCAGCAAGAAGAACTGTAAAGAGCTGGAAGAAATTTAAGCTTAGAAAAATAAGACGCAGCAGAATAACCAAAATTTAGCACTGAAAACCACAGTAGCCGCTTAGAACTATAAAAATCTGTATCTTTCATATATATATATTTTTAATTGTTACCCAGTTCAGAATAAATAGTTCAGATGTGGCAATTGCACTACAGCAAACCAGAATCCCACACTTACTGCAGACATTTGGCAGCATCGTTTTGGTTTTGTTAGAAACATGTCAATAAAACAGATATGCACGTATTTCTCTCCACATGGATTTCCACCTGCAGGTGTTCTTTCCATGGGTTCTATGAAGAAAATATAATGCAATTTGAAATGCGAAAATGTAAGAACTGAAAAATATCAGACAGTTTAACTGCAAACCAACCCTTCTAATATTTATTCCATAGAGAAAAAGGAGCCAATGCAGCATTTCATTTTTCATCAGTGCTGTGTTGCACAAAACAAACAAATAGTTCTAATTCATGAGTATTAAGAGAGAATTTTCTTGCCAAAGCTCCTCTGTTCCCCAGGAATATTTTCTCGTACCCTTCTAGTTTCAAGAGCATCAAGTGAAGGCCAGATAGAGAATACCAAAATTGCTGCTGATTCTGAAGTATTCTTAAGCCTTTTGGCAAGTGCTTTTCTCCTTCTCTGCTATCACATGGCTATAAAACTTCCCAGATATATAAGGGGACTTCAAAGGGTGCTGAGGTACAGCGGAAAGACACCGTGGACCACAGAAATACCTTAGGTTGCTTGTTCCTTTACTGATATTGATTAATGCCTTCTGATGAAGGACATGTTGTTCATACGTACTTAGGAATATCACTGCTAGGACAGAAAGCAGTGGTAGTGAAATCTGAGAGCTAGCACATATAAGATGACAGTCAACAGTTTTTCAGAGTCAAACTTACCCTGGTTCTTGAAGCACACATCCAGAAGATAGGGGAAAAAAAATGATGCTGAAAAACATTTTTGCAATGGAATTTCAGCTGTTAAAATTTTGCCTCTTCCTAGCAAGCTCTTATAGCATGCCAAATAGGTGCAGGATATTTAACTTCAACCTCTCACTTCGACAGCATCACACTATTTTCAGAAATGTACCTCATCCCCAGCTATGCAAGAAGGAGGATTAAAGAAAATCATCATAAGAGGGCATGCTGGCAGCCAGAGCTGGTGGCAAGGCACAAGGAATGCAGAATCTCTGAGCCTCTGCTTCATAGGGGTGATGGGGTCCTGCTGCTGCTCATAGAAGGGAAAAATGCAGCCAGGTCAGGTATGTTTTCGTTAACATAAGGAGAAAAAAGAGGCAGTAATAGCTTTCTAATTTAGAAGAAGAACAGCATAATTTGGAGTATCGTCATTAACAATGCCGCTATAGAAATTTAGCACTTCCTCCTAAAATAACAAATAAAGTGTTATCCAATTACTCGTATGCTTTCAATGATAGAGTAAATATATATGACAATATGGATTAGGAAAACTATTATGCTATTTTTAGTCTTACTCTCGTCACATAAGTGAAACTACATACATTAATGATATTTTGTTATTTTACTGTGGACACCTTTTATGACAGTTTATTTTATGTTACACTATAATCAGTGCTTAAGAGCCCTCCTACTGAATGTGGAAACAAATTTAATTTGACTTTTCAGTAGAAAAAAAACAGGTAATTATTTCTCACTGAAGGCAGACCATATATTAGTACTGATCTAAACATCTTGTCAGATGAACAAACTGCTAGTTTTAGAGGATATACTGCTGGACTTATACATAGCTTAAAGCATTACCTTGTTGCAAAGGGCCATAAGATTTGTACTGAGTTTGCAAGTCCTCAGGTTTGAGGACTATCGGTTTGTTCTGTCTGAACTAACTGGCAACTTTCTTTTAATGTGGCTTAGTTATAACATTTTTCCTAGTTACCAAGTGTCTGAGTAATTTGTTAAGCTTGCCTTTGTACTCTATTAACATGATTTTATGTCGCTATCATAATAACATCCTTCAGAGACATACAGGTCTGGTGTGATAGAGCAGGCCTTGAGAATGGGAGACACCAAATGTAGATGAGAGTGGGAACCAAATACAAGAGGGAGAGCACAACCTGACACTGGTTGCCTTGTGGATATCAACTCCTCACTAGACAAAGAAATAGAGCCCTGGTGCTGGAAAAACTAGAGGTCAGAAAGAGAACAAAGAAATTGCACTTACCATACATAAAGGGCACCACATATAATCAATACGGATGCGTCACGGAGCTGAAGACTGATGAAGAAAGATCAAGGTGTACGTTTGCAAGCATATAAGAACCCCAAGTGAGGTGCAACCATCAATATGAACATGTTCTTCCTCTTGATGAGGATATTGATGACTTACCAAAAAAAAAACACCACAGCTGGAATAGAGAAAAAGAGAACATAACCCCAAGGTAAGTAGTAGCACGTGCAGGATGTATGTGTATGAATTTGCTATTATGCTTTCTTTCTGTTATTATTCTTTCATTTTCAGCAAGAACTAGTTGAGATCAAAAACTTTCATTTATACTCTTTGATACCCATATGAATAGCATGCTTCCTCTTTGGCCACAGATTAGGTTTGAACATAACTGTAGATATTGACTTTAGGAAATTCCTCTTCCACTCCATCAGTATTAAACTCAATTATAAAGAAGTTTTGTGGTATTGTTCTTCACTCAACCTTTGTTTCCAGCATGATTATCACCGGATTCTCCAATGCTCAGCCACAGCTGTTAAATAACAAAAAGCACAAGAGTCACTTAACACTTACCAATCAACACCACTGATGCCTCTAAGTCCTATTTGTGAGGTGCAATGCATATATGAGCAAATACTGCCCTAACTCTGAATTTATGGTTCCTGAATGGAGACATGTTTCATATGAAATAATTCTATTTCACCAAATAGGTTAAACCTATTTCTAAGTTACTATTACGATAATGTATATTCTGGGCCCTCTGGGTTTTGTCAATCTGTCTTTCCTCAGAGATCCTGCTTCAGTACTGCAATGACTGAAACTGAGTGATACAGCCACGTACCTATGATATGGGGCACATCTTTCTTATTTGGATAAAAATATTTCCTTTTTTCCTTTTTTCTAAATATAGCTGCAGCTACAAATGGCCAACCGTTAGTGGACTAAATATTTAGCAATTACAGTGAAATTGACTGGAGTAAGGAAATCAGACATACTTCAGTTTTCATACAGCTTATTCTTCATACTAGACATGGAACACAGACTGAATGTCTATCTTAGAGATCATGCTATATTTCCAATCTCAAAAAAAAAAAAACAAAGTTTACCTTTAAAGAGACAAATAAACCTAGCAAAATCAAAGACATTGTATGCAGAAATAGAACCAATGCTTCTATGAAAGTGTAATTCTTTAAACTGTCTGCTGTTATCCCTAAAGTTATGGAAGATTTGAAAGGGCCTATTTGATTATCTGACGGAACAATAAATGTCCTGTACTCAACTGCTTAATTGATTTTAATGATCTTGATGGACATCAGCCCAAGTGTTGGAAATATCTATGAAGTCAAAGCAAATTATTCCTTTTGTACTTTTTGTCAATCAAATCTTCCTGCATTATAAAATAATTTGAAAAAGGAAAATGATCAATCATAGCACTTCATAATTACAGACATATATGCAGAAAAGCTAATGAGATGTATCTGGAATTTTCCACGCTCCATGAAGGCTTGTAGTAAAAGAAACTGAGCTATTTGTTTTGTGCTATACTACACAAAAAATTTTCTTTGGCAGTAAAAGAAAATGCACTTGTATTCATTACATGCGAGATTCAACTTCTGCCTTGCTTTCCTCCCTTCCTCTCCATTCCTCTGTCCCTTTCCATTAACTCCCTTTGCATTCCCTTCTGATCATGTTTTATCAAATAACTAAAATATTTATAGTGAAGCACAAACACTGAAGTTAAGTCAACAGGAATCTTTAAACGTTAAATAGCATACATTACCCTCCCTCGCGAGTCACCTTGGTTCAGGCATCTTTTACCATATGCAAGGATACTTTGCAAGCAGGCTGTACACAGCACAGAGAAAGAGCAGTTACTTATTAGCTAACACATGCAATAGGAGGCCAACATGATGCAAGGCCAAACACAGAGCTGCTCCTCAGACTTGAAAAAAGATCTCAGCAGAGATGGATGGATGAGCATTCCCCACAGCCTTGAACACAGAACAGCCCTGAGACTTTCTTTTGTAAAGTTACCCTCCTTAGGATCCCTTTAAAGTCTTTTTCCTGTTGCCTTTCCCCTCCCCCACCCTTTGGATTTTTTTTTTTTTTTTTAGTTCTTCATGTCAGGGGGCTTGTCTTGAATCCTATAGATATTAACTGCTACAGATGCAATGGCTGCAACTCTGTGACTTCCTAGTCATACTTGTATGGCTCAAGCTCCAGCACTTTCTCACGCGTTTCACTCTGTCAGTCAAACCGAGCCTAGGTCTCATAGCACAGCAACGCTGACACCAAACTTTGAATCAGAACAGCTGCTTTAATGAGCCCAATGCTACATATACACCATGACTTGCCCCCCCCCATTCTTAACTGCTTCCAAAAAATGTGAAAGGCAAATAAAATTATAGGATTGATTCTTTCTCATAGGACATTCAGATTGCTTTTATACCAGGGAGATACTCGAGGTCAGGAAAGTATGCAGCTAGTTTAGCAGACTTGACTGGATCTTTGTGGCAGGCAGGGTCCTTTCAAGAGTCGCACATTACACATCTGTGGTCTTCTGGACTGTATTGTTGCCTTTTTTATTTTTATTTTATTTACAGCAGGGAAGGACATATCAGTATCTCCAGTTACACAAGAATCTGAAAAAATATCGGTGATTTCCTGCTGCTGGTGACTCCAACTTGTAAAATCCTGTTAGGAGAACTCTTGTCATAAACATTTTTACTTATGTGGTAAGAAACGAAATAAAAATTTAAGCACTTGATCCCAAGCTGATGTAATTCCAGAAGTTTGATGGTGTGTAATGCAAAAGCGCTAGCACTTCTGTGTAAAGTTTACTGATACTGAAGAAAGTACACAGTTGTGAGTTAATATCCATTAATTTAATAGAGAGGTACTCATGTAACTACTAGTACTCTACTAGTAATTAGTTACTGGCAGCCAGCAGTCTCCATCAAGTATTCATTACCAGTAGCAGCAGGCTGATAACAGCATCCATTCTGGTATTATGCTCAGCAGACACCAGTGACATCCGCCTGGCAAAATGCCCATGCAACTCCTTAGTACTATGGCTGTATATACAACAGCAGGAGACAATAAAGAGTCTTGTATCAGGATAAGCAAGGACATTCACAGAAAGCATGGATACCTACTTACGGCTGCAGAACAGTCTCTCACGAACAAGTTTCTTTCAGCTCCTTCTCAAAAGCTAGTCGCCTCTTCAGGCCACAATCCATATTTTTCTGCACACTGATGCCACAAAAGTCTATATCAGCCTGAAGACCTAAATGCAATAAATCCAATGTTTATAATCTGGTTTCTTAAGGTTAGATGAAATGAATTGACTGTATGACCCTGCTAACAACAAAACTATATTTTTTTCTAGAGGGAAGTACTCGTACTTCTCCAACAGAGAGAAAAGAGGTTGTTCAACACAGACAAAAGAAGACTGGGGATAAATTATAGCATCCTTCAAGCTCTTAAAGGGGGCCAGCAGGAAAGATGGGGAGGGACTCTATCAGGAAGTGTAGTGATGGGACAAGGGGCAATGTTTTTAAACAAGACGACGGTACACTTTGATTAGACATTAGGAAGAAATTTTTTGCTATGGGCATGGTGAGGCACTGGAACAGGTTGTCCACAGAAGCTGTGGATGCCCCACTCCTGGCAATATTTAAGGCCAGGTTTGATGGGGCTTTTTACAACCTGATCTAGTCTACAGTGCGGGGTTTCAAATTTGTTGGTTTTTAAGATTCCTTCCAACTTAATTCACTCCATAATTCCGTGATTCTAACAAAAGTTTAGCTTTTTGTCTAGCTTATTTTTTGGCTCCACAATTTCAGGGTTACTCTTATTTTCCCTTGCAAGTGATTATTGAAAACTTTGAGGCTATCAAAAAGCCAGCAAACTTTCATATCCTTATACTCCTGCAATCTACTGCATAAAACAAATCAATGTAGCCATTACATTGCCCTGCAAATGAAGTATTTCTGTTCAACAGGTTAGAAAAGTCATTTGTAACATAAAAACACGGACTGGATTTTGTACAATGGAAACTTTCCTGAACAGAAAAAGCATATAATGATCACAGAAAATTGCTTTTCATAAAGATAAAAACATGAAGCAAAACATTTCTTTTTATATTAGATATCATTTGGAAACGTATATTTTACACTACATAAATACACTAAGATCCCAAAACGCACATGAGTACAGAGCAAGTTAAAAGTTTGAAAAACAAAGCAGGTAGAAATTAGTTAACATAAAGCTGTTAGTTTCAATTAATAATAAATTTCAGGACTCTTGTACCTAGGAATAGTTATAACAGTGCCAATTAATTTGATGATGAAGATATTATACCTCACAGAAATAGGGTATAGATCAAGTTCATCTGGACTACCTTTGTGGACAGTGAGAGTCTCTTATTTATAGGCAGTGGTGACTCATGTTATTTTTAATTGCTGAAGTTCTACTGTAACATCCACCTTTCCCCTGCAAAGACCCTTTGTTATCCTTCCTCTTTTCATGAGACTAAGTTTTTCTTCTCTGCAAGAGACTTGGAATTGTAGGATGGGATTTATTTTGTGCAGTCTATGTGAGGCAGAGACTGTGAGCTGCGCTGCCATCCCAAGCTGCTCTGTGCAAAACTCTCATAAAGGATAAGGACCTGCTCTAGCAAATGCTGCTGCCAACTTTGGATAATTTACAAATTAAAAAGATGTATAATTTTTAACTTTTTAATTTATTTGTCTCATTCCACTTTCTCTATAGTCACTCATGAAGTAGTAGAAGACAACAAAAAGACCCTTTCCTTCCACCTCTTTTTCACATTTACCAAATTATAGCCTTCTAGTCTCTTCTCAAAGATCATTTGCTCCAAAATCTTTTAGAGCAGATAGGGAAACACCACAGACAACATATGTAGATGGTATATCAAGCACTTACTAGATAAGGTAAAATGAATAGATTTTTTACTTCTTTCTCCTTTCAACACTTTTTCATGCTGCTTTCTTATCTACATTACTTCTTCAGAACAGCAATGTAAGTAATATCTCAGGGAAGAATGTGACTGAAAAAAAAATTGAAACACATTCTAACAAAGAAGGAGAGGAGGCAAGAGGATGTAGCTGATCTCTGCTGGAGGTTAAAAACTGTTTTAATCCATATACTATGATTGCCTCACATATCATCAGCAGTGAATGCTAACTTAGTTTTCCTTTCCTACCTTTAACCATGTCTCCCCAAGCAGAAAGAAGTAAAGAAAATTTTTAGGGAAAGTTTTCCAAACAGTAATTCAGTTCTATCAAGCCTGCTTTTAAAAACGTCTTTTCCAAAGGGCCTGAAACAAAGTGAGAGGACAAAATAAACAGCCTAATTAGCAAGCTGAAAACAGTACTTTTCTGCATTTTATGCTATCTGAAACCAGTGTATACTGCTTATTAGATAAGAGATTAGCTTCAAGGCCTCTTATGCTGTCTAATGTGAAATGCATGAATTGTCCTGGGAACACAGGGTGGATCCAGAACAACCTCCCACTAAGAGTCACAATGGTGTTCACCATTTAGAGTAAATGACTCTCAAAGGATAGATGCCTACTACTACAAAAAGAACGGGGAAAACTGTTAAGTGTCTAAGCAGGGAAATGAGAAGCTTGCAATGGTTTTCATTGGCTTTTGTCAGGAATATAAATATGTTATTTATGTTATTTTATGTTATTAAAAATTACCTCAGAACAAGGGTAAAAAAAAAAAAACAACAAACTTTTAAATGCTGTAGACTACTTTACTTAATATAACAAGGCAGTGATATGGTTAAGATTTCTCCTAGATGCACTGAAACCACAGTGTGAAACCTGATGTACCCCCAACATGGAATAAAATCTGAACAGATGCCAGGTCCAAGCCTCAAATCTGAACCTTCATATCTTGCAATGTAGATCTTTATTTTTCTGCCACTATGTGCACCACTTAATACTCGAGGAGTTAAAAAAATTCATATCCTACTCATCTAGAGTGGAATAGAGAAGTTAAAAAACCTTTATCTTTAGGATGTGTTTACATTGAAATCTGGCAGTAATGTAACCACATACACTTGTATGTCAGCCTCACCTGAAACCCAAGACAGAGCACAAAATCAACTTATTTTGAACAGCAGGCTTAGGCTCAAGACTGTCACCTGTGAAGAAAACATATGGAAAAGAATGGGATTATTCAGGCACATAAAAATTGTATAAATACACTAGAGTTACTGTTTTTCGTGACACATGCTGAGCGAGTTATAGCATTTGAAAACATTAACTGGTTTATTCAGTAGAGTATTCACATCACTAAAGACTTTGGGTTTTATTAACACAGATTAGCCAAATTTATTTTTGTATTCTGATGAGGACCCAAATGCAGTTATCACAAACAAATTGTGTGATATTTTCAGTATTAGGAATGAGTTGAACAGTAGCTACCAGACTGATTTGTGGCCAGTATAAGTGCCTACTAGGCATGATAGGACACACCATGGATCACTTCACGGCAACAGAAATGCAGATTTTAGTGATATGACGACATCATAAATACATCTTTCCAGTTCTATCAGCTATCTACAGCAATATTTCAAAGTTTGCCTCATCCCTCATCACTATTTTGCAATTGACTTCCTCATGTTTCATTCCCTCTGCCCAGCCTTGAATCTCAGGTTCAGATGATGTTGGCTACTTATTTCTAGTGACTGTATGTTTTAAAGGTGAGTGGAGGATAGCTATGAAAACATGTAGATACACAAGATTGCCATTGTAAAGGTTGATATTTAGAAAATTGGAAATCTAAGTCTATGGCAACACCAGAATTTACAGCAAAAAAAGTGATATCCCCTTTAAAGCAGCACTAATACATTGTTTAAATGCCAATTTCTAATCAGTGATAGCAAGTCAACATTAATACCTCTCATGCTCAGTAGTTTTGTAATATTAACAAATCTGAAAGTAGCGAATGCAATGTATTGTTCTGACACATGAGTAGAAAAGCTTTAAATTTTCAAGTTACATTTTGAAGCTTTAATACAGATGAGTCATTATTTATTTTTCATCAGCTCTTAACTTTTGAAATCTAAATCATATTTTCTGTCTGGTGTAAAACTGTGCATCCAATGAATTGTCTAAAACCTTTTTCTTTCTTCTGTTACCTGAATATTCATGCACAATCATGAAATACACCTCTAGAGTAATTGAAATGTGTTAATTACATTAAATGATATCAATCTTATCTTAATATATACAATACATTAGGACTTATAAAGTGGCAGAAAAGAAATGGGAAAAGTTTCTTGCAGAAGTGTTAGAGAAAGATCTTGCAAAGTAGAACATAGACTGTTTACTACAGGAGGGTAATTGTATTAAATTACTGGGACCAAAAAAAAGATACAAAAATAGTAGAAATATCTTGAGCTAAGAAGGAAAGAAGTATTTAAAGATAAGGATCCATGTGGGTTACCTGATCACTTTAGATCATTAAGGAGGTTAGCTAGCATGTCAGGTATTACACCACTAAGCAGTATTTTTAAAAAGCCAGGAAGAAAACCTAGATGGAAGTAAATTCAACACCAAAATTCATAATCAGAAATAGATTACTTAATGAATCTTATATGATTCAAAATTCAAAGAATAAACGTACACACAAACTGCACATTCACTTTTGTTTGAAATTTTAAAGAACTATAAATAGGAAATTATGAATAGCATGTTAGACAGCACTTTTCAGTAAAATGACCTTTTACTTTTATATGATAAAGTGAAATGATTGAAGAAAACTACTAGAACTATAAAGTACTTGATACAGTTAAGCTTTAAGACAATATCGTTTTGTTGTTCTCACTAACAATTCATTCTGCCTTAAACAAGAATAGCTAGGGCTTCCTAAAGAATGCACACTGAGAAGAGTGTTGAAAAAAACCTACTGAGCTGTGCAGAGGTTTCAATGGTAAATACATTCTGCAATTTAAACATGTCAATTCTTGCTAAAAAAGAAAAAAAAAGGGGGGGGAGGGGAATTATAGACCTTCAGTAACATCTACAAATTAATTTTAATTGACAGTTAAAAATACAGAAGAGCAAGAACAACAGAAAAGTTTTTAGGAAATTGGAAACACAGGTAAATATTGTGTCTTGCTAAATTCTGAATAATGTTGTTCCATTCTAGAAGAACATTTTAAAAAAGGTTTCAGTGAAAGGTAAAGTGAAAAAAAATAGATAAAATTAATATGATAATAAAAGTGAGAATGAAGTGCAGGTTGGCATTCAGGGCAAACTGTACTGCAAACTGTTAGAAGAGATTTGATTTCCGAAGTTCATGTGAGGAATCACCATTAGATCAGTTCACTAAACAAAAGATTATTGTCTGTTCTGAGCATAGCAGAGAAAAGAAAACAATATTTTTAGGCTTTAAGAAAAAGATCAAAGAAAAAAACACCTGGAGAAGTTGTTTGAAGTTGAAAACTGAGAGCCGTGTTTCAAACAACCTGCATGAGAAATGTGTGGTAATAACAGAAGACAAAGGGTTCAAGATGGAAGAATAAAATCAGTGTTGGGCATCTTAAGAAGGCAAAGTGTACCTTTTAGTACTGGTTGTCATGGGTGGCCTACTGCCCCTCTGTCATGGGCATAGATTGATATAGTAACTCCATGACACAAGCCTGAGCCCAATATGACTGAGCCTACGTTTAAGCTGAAATATATCCGTTACAAAAAAGTTGCTCTGTTTTCATAGAATTCATAGAATCATAGAATTGCTTAGGTTGGAAAAGACCTTTAAGATCATCAAGTCCAACCACAACCTAACCAAACTACCCTAACTTAACAACCCTCCACTAGATCATTGCAGTATAGCTAAAAAGGAGATGTAGGTCTTCATATAGTCGTTAAACCTGGTTCCCAGGAGCTATCCACCTGGATGGGAGATAGACGAATAAAGTAATCTCATGCACACTGCCAACTGTTTTGTTATTATATCTTTTTCTTTAAAATTTGCTTAATTCATTGCAGTGTTTACAGCTGACCATTAGGTGAAAGAAACCTTTGTAAATACAAATTTTTGTTTTGTTTTTTTTTTTTTTTAATTAAACCTGGAACAAAAATATCCTGTGTTTTATTTCTGTTTGTCTTTTTGAGGGGGGAGGGAGAGCTTGTACTGCATTTTCTCACCTCATTAAAGTCATTTTCCAGAAATGTATCTATCCTTCCAGGGATTAACAATGAAATGAATTCAAGCTTCTTAATACCTTTCTGTTTCTGAGGAAACACTGCAACTTCTTTTATAGAAAAATTCAACATCCTTGCTGAATTTGATCACTCATGTTTCTTTGAGACAACAGTACTCTTTTAACAAGTACAGATCAAAATAATAATTAAAAATAGTTATTGTCTTTTTTTCTTCTTCGTCTAGGACACTCTCTATGAACAATGTGAAAAGATGCCTCAAGCAATGAAGGGGTGATGGGGTTTCCATTTTAGGTTTAATGACTTTTTTTCTTTTTTAATTAAACCTAATCATTCTATGTTAGTATAAAGTAGAGCTTAGCAGGAAAATTTGGGCCTGGAGAGCTATAGTTTCAGTCCAGCTTGTCCTCAGTTGTATATGATAATGCTTTATCAACCTCCCATAACAAATTAAAAGGAAAAGATTTAGTCTCACTCATAGCTGGGAAAAAACTGCCACTAACATAAATCTTAGAATAACTTATCCTGGGACTCACGTAATAGATACAATCAAAGGCACGTATCTCTCGGGTAGGACTCACTGTACAAATCAATCCAACTGCAAAGAAAAACACTAAGTATACTACCTGATAACTTATTGTAAATTTAAAAGATTATTTGAAACATTAAGATGAAGCTCAGAATCATTGGGTACCGGAAAGATCACATCCCAAAAAACAGCACTTGAAGCCACAGATAGGAGCTGCTCATCTGTAGCAAAGAAGTTTGCAACTAATGCTAACTTTTTAAAACTGTTAATAGCAAACTTCCTGCAATCTAAAGAAAGCCTGCATTTCACCTCTAATCAATTCCCAATTTGAGCAAGAACTCCCGGTTTGAAATTTGAAAGTGAAGTCAGTTATCTCTGACTTTTTACCTCTAGTCATATACAAATACAGTAATGATTTTTCACTTAGCAAATTTACTTTTGCTTTATAAATGGCACGTACTATTTAAAATACATAAATTTTAGTAGGTTCCTTATAGTTAAACTGGATTTATGAGGGCTGCTCCAAAAGTAACACTTCCTATTTTATTATGTTGGCATAGTATGGCAGTAGAAGCTCAACCTTCCCACCTGTATTTCTTTACATTTTGTTGTTGTGTGAGTGGCAGCAGAGAGGCAGTCTGATGAAATGGCTTCTGACATGTAAGAGCATATAAACAACAGTGTGGGTTTGAATTCTTCCATGCAGAGCAAATTGCACCATCATCAAAACTTGCTGAATGTTTGTGGAGACCAAAAATGTGGATGTGAGCACAGTGAGGTGGTGACTGGTGACAATGATGTGAAAGACAAGCCACATTTTGGATGGGTCAGCACAGTTGTTACACCACAAACTGAAGAGTGCCTTGATCAGCTCATCCACACAAACTGACAGATTACAACAGTGAACTGCACACAGAGCTGAATATCTGCTTCAGTGCATTTGAAACAATGGTAGCAACATTGGAATATTACAAAACTTGTTTCTGAGGCATCCCGTGAATGCTCCCACAGAAACAGAAACACCATATGCAAGCTTGTCAGGTGCTACTGTACTAAGACAAGGCTGAAGGTGATGGTTTCCTGGATTGCATCACTACTGGTGATGAGACTCAGTGTCACCACTTCAAGCTGGAGTCAAAACAGCAGTCATGGATTTGGCACCACGTGGATTTCCTATCAAAGAAAAACTTTAAGAGGCAGTCCTCTGCATATAAAGTGATGTGCGTTGTCATTTGTGATAGGAAGGATCACTCCTTTCTGGATATCCTGGAACTCTGACAAACCATTAGCTCTGACCACTATACCACGATGCTGACAAAGCTGAAGACTCCAACTTCTAGAGTCAGGCCAGAGAGGAAGACAATCTTTCTCTTGCAACACAATAACACCAAGATCGATATCAGTTTGAGGACCGTAGAGCACACTGCTAATCTTGGTTGGACTGCTCCACTACACCCAATGTATAGTCTGGATTTGGCACCTTGACTTCCATATGTTTGGGTAAAAAGGAAGATTGTGTGAGAGGTGTTTTCCTAGCAACAATATTGTCACAGCAATTGTGAAAAAATAAAAATAAAAATCAGTGAAGGTGACCTGCTATTTCACAAGCACAGCATTTCACCTGTTCACTGCTGGTGAAAATGCATAGCTAACAGTTGGGACTATGTTGAAATCTAATGCTTTATAGCCAAGAATTTGTTCTATTCAACAGTGTTACTAATGCATTTGCACATGTGATAGTTTCTACAGAAATACTTAGGAGACATTACTTTAAAAATGACCTAGATAGAAGATAGGAGTAAAATCGAATGTATATATACCACCAGCTACGTATCAGGTACCATATTTGAGAACCTAGCACATACACATGCCATAATTTCCCTAAAATATCAGATACCTAAGTGGTGCCCAGAAACTAGCATCTAACATGCTCGAAGACTTCAAAATGCGATTTCAACTACATAGACTCATTAACATTGGAAAAGACCTTTAAGATCCTCCAGTCCAACTGTACATTATGTGACTGTTTAAAATTGAAGGATCAACAAGGAAAATACAGCTTCTTGTGTTTACTTTCTTTCTGAGATACCGAAAATAAACACTTCCATAACAAAAGTCTTGCAAAGAGCCTCCATCTGTCATAAATACTCTTTGTCTCTTGATTTTTACAGTTTGAAAACCGAAGAAAGTTTAAAAATCCATCTTCTCTGTGTTCTGAATTCAAAATGGTGAATAATTCTCAATGTGTAGAACAGCTTGTAATATGTTATATGTTAATATATTATCCAGATGGGTATAAAGTTATGGTAGATGCAATTGTGATTTATTTCCCAGAACAGGTTTTGAGCTTCTTCCTATCAGTTTCTAATCAGTTTACCCATCTCATGTAATTTTAACAAAATTCTCAAGTTGAAAATTGATACATTATTTTATACTTCAGATGAGAATTCACTCATTTAAAGGCATAGCATTTCTTGACTTTCGCTACAAAAGTGAAAAAAAACCAAAAAACTATGGTACTACTTCTCAGCATCATTGTAAATAATGCTTTTACACTTTAGAAGTTGCCCTACGTTTTAAGAGACACATTAATCACGAGAGTACTTCCATACAGATGAAGAGCAACAGTGCCAGCAGAAACAACTTTTATCTCCATTATTGAGCTCTACAGCCGACAACAATAAGCAAAAGAATGATATTTTTGTTAAATCACAACAGAGATCTTATTTCTCAATTTTATTTTGAGAGTCCAGCATCATAACATCTTTGCATTTCCAATAAATACATTCCTGCTTCCACAAAACTAAGATACTTTAATTATAAAGTAGTGTGCTTCAGTAGGAAAAAATTAACAAGTTTCACTTCATTGCAAATGTAGTTCTTAAACCTAAAAATCGGTCTCTCTCTACAATTCAGAAGGGCTAAAGATAGTTTAAAACGTAGCATTACAAAGACATCTCTATTGTGAGTGAAATTACTAGGATAAAACAGTGAAATATTTTCATAATTAAACACAAAACTTAAAGTAGTATTCTCCTGTAAAAGAATACCCCCCTCAATTTTGCCATGCTCATAAATATCACATAAATTGAACTGACAAAGGGTCTGGTAGTTTGAGACACTACAAACTTAAACTTGCAGCCAGATCAACCCTGAATCTAGAGCTTAATTTTAAGCACAAATAGCCCTCTAAATCAGATGAGGTGTTGCCTCAGCTTTTACGGAGTTGTTCTTCAGATTACTCATGGTTATCACGAAGAAAGTTTCAGGATTTTGCCTCAAGCATCTCAAGACTATGAAAGCATTACTGAAGAGAGTCCATACAACCTGCTATTTAATTCTTTGATGAGCACTGGTGTCCTAAGTCTCCTAAGAAAACAGCATCTTCTGGAAGAAATTACAGGAGCAAGAACATCCCAGATGATATAGATTTACTCTTTGTATCTTTGTAATAGTAAAGACAGGTAAAACTGAACAAACAAGGACCTAGTACTATCCTTGAGGCTGGCTACCTATGACTCTAGAAGTAATGAATATTAGGTTTCACTTCAGCACTGAAGCATTTATGTAGTTACAGCTTGCATATCTGAATGCGTATGTGCAGAACTCAAGCCCAAACCCAAACAAAAGACAAGAAAGAGCCTTTTCTCAGTCATCCTTCTGAGCCTTCAGCATAGACAGTCTTAATGTCAGCCTGTGTTTTATGAGATCATCCCTGCTTGTCCTGTGAGCTTCTGTGCTAGAAGCTGTACCACTCCACTTGTCCTCTCTGAAAGATATCCCATATCAGAGGTCCTCAGCAAGTCTGGCCAGGTTTGAAGATAACCTCAGGAGAGCACTTCTCACTGTGAACACTTCTTTATTGTAAATATTGAGCTTTCAGTGTCCATTACTTCACTTTGCCCTCTTTTCCCAGTGCTTGTGACAATCATTTTAAAAGGGCCTTCCTGACTGCTGCAATCTCTGTTCAATTAAGTTATCTGTGACAGGTCATTGACTGAGTACAACTTCACTAACAGTAATCATAGCTGGGTAAGACTATTTCAGGAGTTAATTGCTTTTAATTACCCTGAATTGCACATGGAAGAAGCTGTACAGCTACATAAACAAGGCAGTAGTAGCTTTTGAGATTGAGTACCTACTATGGGCTGTCCTGGGTGGAAGAAAGGCAGGGAACTGGGGGGAGAGGAATACCAGGGGTATGGTTAGCAGCAGAAAACAAAATGGAGCTGGTCTTTTCCATGTTTTTGTTTTTAGATATTTACCTGTTCTATGCTACTGGCCCTGAGGAAAATGACTTAAAGCCATAAGGTGTTGGTACTTCAAGTTAGTAGAATTGTCAGCTTACAGAGAGGAAATATTTCTGAGGTTTTGACATGGTAAGCACCTGTGATGCAGAGATCCTCATGCGGTATGCTAACTGGGACTCTTTAATATGCATTGTACAGTCTAGGAAACATTTACCACCACAGAACACAATAATGGCTGCATACTGCTTATGATGGCTACTTATGAATATCATTCTCTGCTTTTGTGTGTGTAGCACAGCCATTATTCTGGCAAAAATCCTCTTCAGAAACAATGAGTCTCTTATATAAAGAAGGGGAAAGTGCACTTCCTATAGAACTAATTGCCTTATATAACTTGTCACTAAATATTTACTTTGTTCTCTGAAAGCCTACTTCATTGTTGCTTTCAAAAATTAAAGGCACAGATAGTTATTCTCACTGAAGAATTTTATTTCCTTGTAAATAAAATTAAATTATCCAGTAAAGCTGGTAGTCTAGTTTGTTAGTGAAAGACAGCTATGTATTCAACTGCACCAGAACAAATAAATATTGCTTTTATTTTCTGAAAAAGATAATATTTATCAAAGACTAATCACCGAGGCAGCAATGCTTAATTCATTGAGGAAATACATGGAGAATAGTAATATATAACCGGAAGCCTATTCTAGGCTGTTTTAGCCCGCTGAAATTCACTTTTCTTATTTATGTTTACTGTAGGGAAGTTTGTGCTGCTGCAGCTGAAGTAACTGGCAAATTTTTAATGAAATAAGTAAAAGAAATTAAAGCCAAAGCAGAAGAAATCACCACCTTCCTTCTAAATTTGAGAGAGTGCTATACTGCGACTATGTTTAAAAAAAAAAAAAAAAGTGTGTCTGAGACACGTGAAGCTGCAATACGACCAATAGGTACAAAACAGCCCACATCTCTCCTATGAAATGTTCATTTCTGCCACATGAAGGTAACCATTCCCAGCCTCTGTCCTTCACCCTTTCTGACAACAAAACCATTCCTGGGTTAGACAGACTACTTGTTAGACTGGTTACAACAGGCCAGGAACAGCTCTACAGTTTGGCAACACAGTGCTGCTGTGTATCAATGTCCAGGCAATGTACTTTGGCAAATTGTTTACCAATGTAGGTATATTCAGAAAAAAAATCTCCTAAAACACCAATTCCCAAAGAACCTAAGACTGAAAAATAGAGACAGATATGAAAAAATCCACTGTTTTTATTTAACTTAAGTTTTATAAACACTTCATTTTTTTCTATATACCTTCCCCTGCAGCTTCCTCCAAATTTGAGGTGTTCTTTCTTGAAGCTCCCAGTATTTGTCATTAGCAAGGCATAGCTTATAAAGAGTAAAAATGACTTCACTTGCCTAACAGCTTCAGTTTGGCTTTTCACTGTTGTTCATACAAGACAAATGCAATTTTAGAGATGCTTGTAATAGCTTGGAGAAGGTGTGCAGAAAGAAAAAGTCACACAGGAAAGCATAAGTTAGACGTGTACTTGAGTCTTAGTTTGCATCCTCTTCACTGTTTTTTTAAAATAAGTGTATTATATCAGTTTGTGTTCAGATCAGCTTGACATACAAAATTTCAAACACAAAATCTAATAGATTAATGTAGAAGAAGAAAACTTTTCCCCCGTCTGCTGACTTGCAGAATTAAACACACTACGCCCTAGTTGAAAAGTACATTACAAAGGGATGGAAAACACCGCGATAAGAGCAGGGTGACAAAGTCTTTAGCTCCAGCAATTGAGAACGCGCCCAAATACAGCAGCCACAGAATAAAAGAAAATATCTACTTACCTTTAGAAGACCACAGGTAGGCAAGGATCTCCAGCAAGAGATACACTCACCTCCACTGCCTTAAGTGGGTCTGGGAAGGGGTGGATCCTGATTCCACCCCTTCTGGTCACTCCAGTTCATTGCATGCACCTGGTCTCCCCTATGTTGGCCCTGGCTTCCCACCAGGTGATCAATCACTGCTTCAGACCATGACTTAGCATTTCCACACAAATACTGATTTAGTATAAGAGTATAATCAAAAGTTCTTGTGAAAATAGTTGGTTTTATATCAGCAAGTCTTGTCTGATAGTTGAAGACAAGATGAACTATTAGAACTATCTGAAACTTATTTCTGCTGATCAACATATGCAGCTGCTCTGCTTAGTATGTTGTGTATCTGTGTAAAACAGATTCCAACTGCTGAAGTGGGCACAGTTTTTGACATATTTTCCTAATCAACATCAATTCTTCACATGTTTTATGTCAAGTTCACCAATTCTAGCAAAAACTATGCACTTTAGCGTGGTGTATTTGGGATTCTTTACTCCCCAGTACCTGGATTTTGTAAAGAAGGAAAACAGTTTCCAGTATTTATAGTATTTATCTTGAGAGCGAGAAGTTGCTTACTATGAAGAACTGTGATAAAATGTTTAATGTTCTATACTTTGTTCGTACTCAGTGTGAGAAATTGTTTAGCAGACATGAAGAATCATAGCTTTATTACATTTACAATGTTATTATCTTTAGATTTAACTAATTATCTTCTATAGTTACAAGTAAACTGATGCATAAAGCTTAGAAAAGCTCCTTCTAAAATGAAAAAAACTAACAGAGGCTGTGCATCATTATTTTTGAAGTGATATATGATAATGACATAGTCTCATAGTGGCAGTGAACATTTTTGCATAAGCTGCTTGTTGAGTACCACAGTTGTATTAGGCTGCTACTTTCTGAGCAAATCAGTGCAAAATTCACCAGCTGTTGAGGTGAATTGTTGTAATTTGTCTTTGCATTTCTGAAGTGTCATAAAGGACAGGAAAGAAATGAGCCTTATAGTTAGTCTTCCATTCATTCTGGGAAAGATTACTTGCAGGAGAACTTTGTGCAAATATCCCCAGATAGCCTATATCCCCAGACTTCCACTACTATAAGGACTATATGAAGTGGCAGAAAATAAAGCTAAGAACAACATCTATAAAGACAGCACATTACATTCAAACTGACTGAATTTTTAAGAAAGTATTCGAAATGTATATTGCTGTAGTGATTCATAAGTTTCCAGAAACCTTGTGGCTAGAAACTAAGAGAAACTGAGTTTCTCTGCTGGACTGCAGTAGATAGAATAAGGCATTGATAGTATGGAATTTACAGAATCGTTCTCTCTAGCTCAAAAGCACTTTGTACAGATATTCCAGAAAATCTGAATTCCATGCTGGACTTGCAGCCTTTTGTTGCTGTTTTCTCAAAATCTTGGGCTGAAACCTGCCATGGAGGGGACTTCTACATTTGAACTGGTCTTTTCCTCAACCTAGTCATGTAGGTAGTAATCAGCCAGTAACTAGAGCTATAAGGAGAGAGATCACTTCAATAGCAAAGCTACCAGGCTTGGTAACTGATCTGCAATCACCTAAGGTAGCTGAATGGTGATTTCTTTCATAGAGTTATGGAAAGTAGTAAAAAAGAGAGAACTGTCACTCTTCAATCATTTTCAGCAGCTGATAGACTGCTTAGGCAGCACTTAATAAGACAGAAATAAGGTTTATTTTTTAAAATCAAAATGTCAGCTTCCTGTGATTTGTAAGGGCTATTTGTCTTTTGAGGGTTAGCAGAAAAGAACAAATCTAGCCTCTTATTTTTTACCATGCAGTGGAGGGGCTCCCTGTGAGTAATGTCTTCATGAGTGTGGACTCAATCTCTTCAAGCATGCTGAAAAAGAATATTTTTAACTGTTACAGAAAGCTGAAGAGAAAGAGATAGAACTTTGGGTCCAGTGGGTGCTGGTTCCCTAAACGTTAGGGAGAAAAGCTTTTTACCATGAGAAAATGCTCAACCTCAAAGATGAAATGGAACAAGCCTGTTTAGATGAAAGTTCTTGAATTAAAACTAATTAATAAAAGTACAATAAATAAAAAAATAAAAACCACAACAACCACCACCAAAATCCACTCAGAATTCATTATCTGGATTTCCTGGGGTTAAACTGAGAGTGCCAAAGATACAGCACTGTCATGCCAGGGTAAAAACACTATCAATACAACAATTCTTGTGAAAAAACATCCTGAACTCCCCCAGGATCATGGGATTCTGTTCCCTCAAAATGCTCCTTTCTTCTGGAAGCATTTGATGACTGAAGTTAATCTTGTGTGCTGCAAGAGCTCTGCAGCTCCTGTCAAGATCATGCTGAGCGCTGTGCAAACAGAGCATCTCTACCCTGAGAGGTTTTCCTGCTCTCTGAAGGTGAACAGCCGTTATTTGGGTTAGCAAACAAATAAAAGGGACAAAAGAAAGACTGAGCGAAGGTGGCAGCACTGCAGTGCTGTTCATCTGGCAACAAGCTATACAGTAAACTCCTGGTTTACCCCATTCACAGATTTGTAAATTCAGCTGGGGCAATGACAGACACTTTGTTTCTCTTTCTTCTTCATAAATGACATATAGCTTCTCTCTGCTCCTGCAGTGAAAAGAACTGCTGCTTCTTGTTACATCACAGTTGCAGCTGTTAACTGCAAGACTTGGATTAATGACTTCATTCTACTCTTCCTCAGATTCTTTTTGAGCAAATCTTGTTTTATAGTAAGCATTATTAGGATGTGTAGGAGATGGGCCAAAACGCTGAAACTTTTTTCAGGCAATTTCAGTACATATGCCTCAGGTACCCAGCTGGGCATAAAATGAGATGGAGAGTGGGGAACTTGCCATTTTTTGTTGAACAGTTTCAGTTTGTATCCAGTATTTAAGGAGTCACTGAGCCGGAAGCTTAAAACTAGGAGGAGTAGGACACTATATCCTGATGGGAGTGTATACCAGGGTGCAGATGTCTTGTTCCAACTTTTCTGGAGATTTTATTTTAAAAGGATATATCTTCCCACTTGGAAGAAAGGGTCATAATTCTCAATTTGTAATATTAGAATAGGGGTCTTTCTTTACCTTACTGAAGTGCTTCTTGAAAATTTATTTTGATGAGGTGCTCAGACACCATGACAATAAACCAACATGAATATTTCACATAAAATACAACTATTGAACAGCTTGGAAAAATGTAGCTCTGAAGAGAACACACACAGAGGGAGAGAGAAAAAATACACAGATAACATTTCATTATGAACAACTTCAAAATTCCTTCAGAAAACCCCATCGTAAAAACTTATGTCGCTTTGTCAAGCAAAGAAGAAAATTCATACACCAAGCTCTGAGCCTCTTGAGGAATTCCTACCCCCTTCCCCCTTGTGCTCTTGTCCCCAGCTGAATGCATTCGAGGTAAGCATTATCATAACACAAAAGGAAGCTGGCAGGATACTAAGTGAAAGAGGTTTGGGAATTAATTTCCTCCCTTAGTGTGAACAAACTCCAATCTGTAAATAACAATGCATAGGCTTACCTCAGGCATTTAAAAAGCTAGAAAGAGTTTGGATTGTATTAACTATAGGAAAGAAAACAATGAACTTAGAATTTTATACCTGTTGGCTTTGCATTTAGGCCTAGTATTCATAGGATTCAAGGCCAAAAGGGACCATCACAGTCATCTTTGTGGTCTTTAGCCCTATATGCACCACTGGATTTTTACCAAAAAATCCTCACTTTAAAGCTACAGCTGCTTGAAAGTCAGGATATGGACTGCCACATTCAGTTTACTGCTTTGCTATTTCCAAAGCAGAGTCTTGATTTTTGGCATCTTAGTACCAGAGGAGTTCTCTCTCTTGCTTTTTTTCTTTTTATTCAGTATCTACATATGTATGTCATAATTTTCTGGTGTAGTCACCAGTGACATATTCACTGAAAGTGAACATGACTTCTTTTCTATTGAAGTTGTCTGTTTTCAGTTTGATAGGGCACAAGAAGCACAAACTGATTTCCCTTCGCCTGCCCTGTGCCAGTGTTGCAGGCTCACATCACTCAGTGAGGCCTCTCACGGCAGGATGAAAAACAGCACATGAAAGAGAGTGTCCATAGGCTTTCTTCATAAGCGCAGCGTTGTCTGCTCCAACAATGTTATCCCTCACTACGTAAAGGAACATTTTACACTCCACTTCCAGTAGATTTTAAGTGATTGCCATGTGTCAAACATATAACAGACAATGAGTTTTTATAAACCCACGTGCTAAATCCATTCAGCTCTGGCAGCTATGGGAATAAATCTCTTTGGAAGGGAGATTGATGATGTCTCATGATCTTCACAGACCTTAAGTCCAAAATATGCTTCACATAGAAGTACAGTTATTAATAAAAAATGCATAAAAAGCATATATATAAATCTTTTTATTTTTTTTTATTTATTTCACTTCATATTAACAGGTTTTGAAGAAAAGATAATGCTTTATACTCTTCACGCAGGAATTTCCCAGATAAATTTGTTTAGCCCCTAAAGGCTTATAGAAATAAATTTTTTCCCATTATTGCTATGGCTAGGAAAGTGTCCTGCTCATCACTTCTTGTGAGTTTTAATCCCCAGGATTATCAGGATGATGGGGATAACTCCTTGAAAACAAAACAGAAACCTATGAAATCCTCACATATCATTGAATTCTCAATAGAAAATATATTTGAAGAATATATGAAGCTTGATTTAATAGGAAAAACTCTGGAAGGCAGAAAACATCACCAGCTTTCTCTACAATTTTAAATGAAACTTTCTTTTGTGCTTTAATATATAAAATACTACAATATTTCATTATATAATGCTTCTTGCAGATGTTTCCAAAGCATAAAGATTACGACTTCTGTTAACAGTAGTATTTTGACTCTAAATGTGTTCATTTAGAAGGGTTGCTCCAAAAGCAATGCCTCCTATTTTATGATGCCAGCCCACAACACCAGAGGCAGATGGTGGTGGTATGGTAGTAGAGGTTCAACCTTCCCACCAATTACAA